CTCTCTCTCTCTCTCTCTCTCTCTCTCTCTCTCTCTCTTCTTCCCTCCTCCTCTCTCCTGTTTTTATTTTCGTTTTTTCTATTCTTCTATTTTTTGTCCTCTTTTTCTCTTTCTTTCTCGCGCACGCGGCTAATTTCAAAAGTAGCCCTCTCTCAGTATTCTGTGCCTCTCTCTTCCTCTTTTTTGAAAACGAATGTAGCGCAATTAACGTCTCGAATAAACGCGCTCCCGCGTGCCAAACACGCAATTGTAAAAGCGTGCAGTGAAAGCGCATGAACGTTGCTTGCCCGATAATTCGTGTAACGCAATAAATATCGCGTCTACCTTGCGTTCGTTTTTGCCGGCGTCGACAATGCTTCAAAATAACACGCGCACTAGAAGAATTGTTATTCCGTTATTTTCCCTCCTCTTCCGCTCCCCCCCCTCTCTCTCTCTCTCTCTCTCTCTCTCTCTCTCTCTCTCTCTCTCTCTCCAATTCTCTTTTTCTCTGTCGGTTTTGCCGACCCGCAAATATTTACTATTAATTATAACCGCGAAGTGTTCTTTAATCGCGCGGCTCGCCTCGGTTATTTTGAAACAGCATCGCGATCGATTGCAACGCGCAAGTCGATAATCCGTTTTCTATTTCGACACATTCAGGAAAAAGAGTGATGCCGAGTTATGTTTACCTTCATATGATTCGCGTGAAGAGTAATTAAATGAATTTACGCATCAATTGATCAAGCGCCATTATTAGTTTCCAATGCAAGTCAAATTTAATTCTTTTTTTATCACCATTTTCTTTTTTCTTAAACAGATGATTTTAAATTGAACCGGAAATGTCAAAATTTGTAATGTTCGCGCAAGCTTTTCGTAAGCCAAATCGATTAATTACTTTTTCTGTCAGTTGTTCATACTTGAAAAATTAAGAGCACACACTAATTATGTACTCTAATGTTAAAATTTAAAAAATTTGCGAAAAAATTACTAGATGAAAATCTAAATTCACTAACATTTTGATAATTAAAAAAAAAATTCATTAAAATTACGAAGTTTATAGAGAGAAAATTACTGAAACAGAAATTTAAATTTACTAGCAGTGTCAGAGAATTTTCAAAAGAAGTATACTAAAAATTCAGCAAATTATAAAAAAAAATTTCCAAAGGAAAAATCTGAATTTACAAAAATTTGAAATGACTAAAATTAAGCACAATTTGCAAAAATGAAATTACTGAAAAAGAAAATCTCACACATTCCTACAGATATAAATCATAAAAAAATGTGATGAAAAATGAGATTTCCTAAAGTTAGGAAATAGTACGGTCAAGTTTAGCTGTTGATAGATTAACGATATATAAGAGCATCCAAATGATGCGTCTCACCATTTGGGAGAAAATAACCCAAAAAAATACGCGTATTCTGTCGAAGTAAATAGTATCGTTAGAAATCAAAATAAAATAGGATCTATAAGAGCCAAACATATAGGCCGTAATTTATTTTTATTTTTAATCTCAGAACCTTTTAACTTGTTTTGTAATAGTTTAGTTCCTTGCAGGAATTATATAAGAAATGTAAGAAATGGGAGAGAAATTAAAGTCTTTATCGATTACATAATATGCATTATAAATGCTAATAATATTTATTAATTTAGGGTGACTTTTATCAAGCTCTAATTAATTTAATCGTCGATTAATTCCGTTGTAGCAGAATTGGCCAATAGCTATTTGTTGGTTACAAAGGAATTAATTAATTATATTAATTCGAACTTAATAAAAGTCATGCTAAATTAATAAATATTGTTAGCATTCATAATTCGTATAAAATTTTTTGTTAAAGACTTTCATCCCAACACAATACGCAATGAAACATACCACCTTTTTTGGCAATTTTTTCCCAAATAGTGAAAGCACATCACTTTAATACTTATATATCTTTAATCTACTCATAAGTAGCTGCAATTTTATCAAATAATAATTTAAGATTTCCAATAGCCGCAAAATATAAGTTAAGATTTTGTACGCCACGAAATAGCGCTGACAGCTTATGAGAGCTTGGCTCTCTTTACGAAAGAAGCGTTGACCGATTCGGCTTTTGAGAGATATACTTAAGAAGAATAATAGCGACAGAAGAGAAACGAACTTGACTCTTTCGAGAAATAAACGCGTGGTCTCAACGAGCGTCAACGAGACCACGAATCAAAATGGAGTCTCGCTTTTGTTTCGCGCAGATGATACTGCCGCTGCCAAAGAACTGCCCGAAGGAGATCTACGAGCTGATGCGCGAGTGCTGGCAGAGGAACGATGTCGACCGGCCGACGTTTCGCGAGATTCATCTGTTCCTGCAGCGCAAGAACCTCGGCTACAAACCCGGCGAGTCCAACGATACCTGATACAGAGAACTGGAAGGCTGGAACCTGATCCGGCTTTCTATGATCGGCGAGCTCAACGGCAACTGGTGGAACTGCCCATCATCGACCAAGCTAGATCAAGCCAGACCAAGTTAGTACCTAGGTGACGATCCGCAAATCGGCACGAACGAATCAACCAACCCGAGTCGCCGTCGTCGTCGTCGTCGGTTACACGCGCGTTACACGTCGGCCACGTGCCGATGACGACCGGTGGGAGCGTACGCCACCGCTGTTATCGTGACACGCTAACGTTGCAGGTAGAGTACAACGCCGGCATGTCGTCGTAGCGGACGCCTCGATCCCGGGATCGATCCCGTGGTCGATTTCGCGCGCCGACAGCGCGCTCCCCACGATTTCTTCTCACACGACGTCGGCGTGGAGTCTCTCCTCTTCGAGCCGCGCGTACGTACATCGTACACACGCTGTTGTGAATAGCGTTAGCTAACCGACAACCGGTATGAATCGCACAAATCACTGTCGCCGTAGTAGCAGCAACAGCAGCAGCAGCAGTGCGCACTTCGCGAAGGAGCGCGTGGATCTCGCGATTCTCGCGGTTTCTCACGCCAACGAGCGGGCGAATAGCCGAAGCCGAAGAGCGCACGGGTCGTTATCACCGTCGAGAGGACGGATGGGTCGACGTCCGTCCGTCCTGTCGGCCGTCGCTTGCGTAACGTTTGACAATTGACAATAGCCGTAACAATGTTCGTTTCTTAGTTGACGATTCGCGATGGAATTCCAGCCGGGATCCTATTTGTAATTTCGTGAGCCGCGTTACGCTCTACGTGCCCGAGGATTTATTATTCGCGTGTGTGTGCGTGTGTGTATGTATGTGTATGTGTGCGCACTCGTCTTCATGTAAGTGTTATATTGCGATTTCGAGCAATGGAACTGTGCGTCCCGGCGCGGGGATTCCGTCGCGAATCAGACCGATCGTCCACGAAGCGGGCGTTATACGACAAGCGCGCTGCGCTTGTTCACCCTTTGATCCCGTGCATCGTTTCTCCCGCCAATCCCGAGAATACGAACTGTCAGCGCGGAAAAAAGCTTGCGACACTTTTTTCCTCTCCCAATGAATTTCGCAACGCGGATCTGTCCGATAGGGAAATTTGTTTCTCAGTTATTCTTGGATCCCGATCCCGCGGATGCGTTCCCAAGTTCGTCAGGGTGAATGTGACGCGAGCTTTCTTCCGTCATGTTTGTACAATCGTAACTGTCATGGTTGACACATTTATGTCACAATTTTTGGTTTCCCAATTTATATTTATTCTCTCCCAATTAAATTCATTTAACTATATTTATTCTTCTAATTTAATCATTAGAATTATTTAAAATGGCTGCGCGATTTAAAGCGACATCACGATTTAATCATTAAAACAATCAAGTTCTTTCTTTGAACTCCCACAATCGAGAAAAAACATTCGAATGCAAAGAATCATTTTTTTTAACTTCTTCAGTAGTATACCCGAAATTTAGTGATAAAATAATAAATTTTTCTTTTAATTTAAACATTTTTTTCTAATCTACAGTAAATGGAAGTAAAAATGAAATATATCTCGTATTCATATTTTTAAAATTTCTATTTAAAAAAATAGCAATAAAAAAGGAGAAATCTAAATATGAATGAAAAAAAAAGACAAATGTAAACATATCTAAATCTAGAAATCTTTAAAAGAAATTATCTTAAAGAGAATCGCGCAGTCGTTTTAAATCGTTACAGAAAAGATTAATGAGACAGATCAACAGTCTACAAAGATTTCTCATTTATCCCTCAGAAATAATGTAGTGCAATATTTTCTGTAATATTTCCCGACCTATCAACGGCTAAATTTAGTTCATAAGAAACAAAAATTTCGTTTTCTTCAGTTAAAATGCGTTTGGCTCGTTTATTGTAACGTCTATTCAACGATCAAGACCTTTTTTCTTCATGTTCTTCGTAATATAATATTTTGATCGCCGTATGGAAAAAAGAGTGTCAACCACTGAAGCGGCAAGATTGTACAGTCGATTCTCGGGCGACTGCCACGCGCTCACTCGATGCGCGACACTTTCCTTCATCGCTCGCCCTTCCGACTTGTCTTCGCGCAACCTGTCTCTCCCTCGACTTCGTCACACGTGTTGCCCGCGGAAGTGCGCGTGAACGAGGCGGGCAACGACACGACGATCGCGGAGAGTGTGCACGGCGAGTATCGATGTCGCGCGCGATCCGAATGGGATAGATTATGATTTGATCCGCGGCATTCGATACGAAATGGAACGTTTCGAAGCGCCGGCAATACGCGCGGGGAGCACGTTCGATAAATCGCGCGCACGCTATCCCCCTCCCCGAAATTGATACTGTCAGCAAACAAGCTTATGATATTCCTCGCCGTAACGGCACTCGTGTCACGTTCGGGATATACGCGGGGGATCGGACTCGAAAATCGCGCGCCGCACGGCTACGGTGACGTATCCGCCGGCTCGCTGCGCGGCTCTCGGGAGGAAGGGAAAGGGAAAAAGAGGTGAAAAGAAGCGAAGAAATGAGAAAAAGGGGGAGAAAAAAGCCCACATCGGGAGTCGCGGAATCGCGGAGACAGCGCGTCGACTTTCACTTTCGCCGAGATCACGGTGTATCCGTTTTCGCGCGAGCCTTTTGTATGTCACTTTCGTATAGACGCGAAAAGAGATTTTTTTCTCCGCGGGATATAGATCTACACGTATATCTATACACACATACACACATATTATATATATATATATATATATATATATATATATATAGAGAGAGTTTTTAAGAGCGATTATGCGAGTTGTTTTTAGAAGAACGGAGTGTATACGAGATGTCTTGCA